CATCGAAATCATCAAAAGACAGCTCTTGCCTCTCTTTGCAATTATACTCAGCAGCACAAGCAAAACAAACAAAGGTAGCTAGCGCTTCAGAACAAGTTTGTTCATGAAAAATCTCAATCACACGCTTTTTCCGCTCCTCAGACACCATATGAGGCCATTCTGAAGTACATCGAGTCTTTTCCGTCTCCATCGCAACATACTGATTCTGTTTACGAACACGAAAAGCTTGCGCTTGTTTCCCTTTCTGGAGGACACCAATGTATGATTTCAGACATTTTCTCAGCTGCGAAAGACTGTCACTGTCATCATGATCCACTTCATGGCAACACAATAAACACAGCAACGGCTTGCACACAATGGTTTTTCTCAATGAGCTTGAAAGATTGATCTGCACGTCCGTCATCTGCGAGCTTGAATCACCATTGCCGTCCGTGGCAACACCAGTGCTGACATCGCATTGTCCTCCACTATCAACGGAGCACTCATCAACAATATGAGAACATGCCAATTGATGATCCTGTGCATTCAACACACACGTTCCCTTGGAAGTGTGATCAAAAATCCTATCGAGCAACTGATCTTTCGTACCCACATAGCACAAACCATGCCAAGACGCTATGGCCTCCAATGAGGACTTAGATATGTGTTCAACCTCAGCAAACAGTGACAGCGAAGACTTAGAAACAGCCTCATAGACCAAACGGTTACGAAAGGAATTCAATATGCAAATGGCTTTTCGCCTACAATGTTCTAGTGGCACACGTACATGGTCCAAATCACTGCAAATACTCTGAGCAACAATCCAAAGATGATCACCTGATATTGCAGATGCATGTGTCTCTGTCAATGCGCCAAGAATACAGTCAACCATATCTGAAGGCCCACCAAATCCTGCAGCAATTTCACAACAAGCAGTATAATCACCGTGCCGTAAACGGGCAGCCAGAACCACACACTCTCCATTAAGGAAATGTCGCAACAACAGATCGCGCAGCTCAGCCAGCATATGAAAGTTCGTAAGATCTAAACCATGCAAGGTGCATGCATCAGAAAGCAACGTGACTTCAACAGAAAAAGGACTAATGCGAATACCAGCATGATACGACCCCAAAAATATGTCACAAATTATCAACTCTGAACGTCTATGAGACGATGAAACCGCCCCGGTGAAGGACGAAGACTGACATGAATCGGACACCATATCAACAGGCGCAATATAATCGGCGCGAGTTGCAACCATACACTGAGATTCTTAAAAACAAAAGTCAACGCAGTAGACTTCAAAATCAAAATTTCATCACCTTGTAAATAAGTACAGGAGCTAGATTCTGGGTCAGAAATCACGTCTTCAAGTCCAACATGGCGCCAGGCAGCGATCCAATTCATCCCAACAACCACATCAGAATCAAGAGCGCGTGTGACCACAAACCCGGCATTGGTGGTGAGCGAGCAGCCTTCATAGGATGCCGTGAGAACTTCGGAAAAAACTGAGCCCACACCCGAATGACCGAGCGAGCGTGCAATCGAAGCAGAAACAAGACAACGACACGATTCCAGGTTGAAAACAACAGATACAGGCAAGTGGCCGAGGAACGACATGACGATTCAGGAGTTTGAAGAGAATATGAGATAACGAACAGGAAGAGGCTAGGTCTGTGATCGATCGATGAGCACAGCCCATTACTATATCAAGCGAAAAAGATAGGGTCGCCAGGAACGGACGAATTTACTGCCAAAACGTGAAAATCAAAACCGACAAGACCCACTCCCTAACGGTAGCGGGAATTTGCTTCAAGGATTTTGTTTGGGCCAGGTGAAATTGACGCGGTCGTGACGCGCCTGTGACGCGGCACTGTAACAAATTCCTATGTACAGATCATGTTTACACAACTACATATCGCATTCCAAACACTTTGAATCATCGTTGATGGCAGTGCATGTTGATGATCAACATATGAGTGTCTGTCTGCGTACAGGCTCTAGTATTCACCTCTCACCAAATTTACAGTGCTTGTCCTCTGCGTTCATACTACTAGTATGCATCTTGCGCGTCGGTCCTATATTGTTGCATTACCTCTAATTCGTTCATCTATGTTGGTTTTCAGATGCAGTGTCAAATGTTGTCTCACTGCGTCAAGCCTCGACCTCACCCTGTCAAGTTTGATCCACTCTCTATACCCTGCACCACCACGTCAAGCCTCAACCATGGCATGTCAGAAGCCTCGTTTAGGCTGCGTCAAGCACTACTCACACCACGACAAGTTCTCCCGAATATCTTTGCAGTCTCTGTACTAATATCAACATCCACACTCTATGCCGCGTCAAGGCCTACTACAGTGCCGCGTCAAACATAGCACATACCGTGTCAGTTGCCGCGTCACATGCGCGTCAGTGCCACGTCAAACTTCATTCATGCCGCGTCACAAGTAGCACATGCCGCGTCAGACCTCACCACCTCCACATGCCGCGTCAAACTTCACCACCTCAACTGTCACACTGTCCGTATAACTTAGGTATATTTTCTTTTACATCTGTCATAATAATTGATATTCTAACAGTGTTCCTTTTCATCCTAACAGAATTAGACGTCGTACACTGTCATCAGTGAATTCATGAGTCCGTGATATGGTAGTCATGAGACCTATAGACCGATACAATTACGCTTTTGCCAAATATATCTATGTATTCTAGAAGAAATTTGTGTTGTTCATAAATGACCATTGATCCGTGCAAATCTAGACTTAGAAGATGCGTCAATGACGAGGTTCAAGTATAGCAACATCATAGCAAGTAAGATACAATAGTCCAGCACCCTCACCCTGCAAGTCCATTCTCAGTTTGACTCGTATATGCTTCAGGTTCAAGGCCATCTAAGCCATTTTAATGGAAAGCCGCTTTGGCAATGACCGGCAAATGTTTAGACCACGTGACTACAATGACAAGGGTTCAAGTATAGCGACATCATAGCAAGTAAGATACAATAGTCCAGCACCCTCACCCTGCAAGTCCATTCTCAGTTTGACTCGTATATGCTTCAGGTTCAAGGCCATCTAAGCCATTTTAATGGAAAGCCGCTTTGGCAATGAAGGTACCAGGAGAACGTCCTAGTGATGTCCACTCTTGTTGATGGTACCTCTTAGACAGCACCAATCCTTGACCCATACCATTCTGCCAAGTCGCTTCTTCACCCGTTGCGTTACCCGACTGAACGTGACTTCGTAGTGGTTCTCATACCACGTCACGAGTTCATCTAGATTTTTCTGGAGATACACAAAAACATCGAATGAGTACTGTCTATAGCAAAGCAGCACGACTACCGGTTAGAAGGTACCAAAGGACATATTTCGTACATATTTCTATCTCCTAATTCAATTTGACGCTCGGCACAGTATTACATATGGATCCTCTGGTTTATGAACAGCGATGGTGTGTTTAGGTGATTGGGGCGGGACAGAAGGATATGATCTCTTCGTAGAGGAACTCTTTGAGCTGTTCGCGGCTGATATCGTCCTTGTGTACTGCCGAATACGGTAAATATGCATGTGCGCTTATCAAACCTGAGTACTTACGGTCGAATTCAAAGAACTCCGGGTCGAGCGGTGGTGCAACTGGTTCGTCATCGGGATCGTGCTGAATCACAAGTAAGCTTGTGCGTTCGAGGAGTAAGAAGTACACATACATATGCTTCGAGGTATGGGTGAGCCAAAGCCTCTTCGACTGTTATGCGTTTCTTAGGATCGAATGTCTAGGAGAAAGGTTTGAGCTACCACTCAAATAGATGAGAAGATCGTGACTTACGAGAGTCTTTGTCAAGAAGTCTACAGCCAAAGGATTGGCGTTGGGGAAGATTTGCGCAAATGGCCGGCGTTTGCGGAAAGGAAGAGCTCGAATATAATCTCGTGATCTGCGTGTGGTAATGGCGTAAAACTCGTCCAGCGTTGGTGTGCCGAGAACATCCAAGATCAAGGTGAGCTGATGGTGGTAGTCTCTGCCGGGGAACAAAGGTTTTTCGGAGAGCATCTCAGCCAAAATGCATCCAACAGACCAGACGTAGATAGCTTTAGTATATTGCTTGAACGTCAGCATGATCTCAGGGGCTCGGTACCACCGTGTAGTGACATATTCGGTCATAAACCCGGTTTCGGTGCCTGATGGTTCGGCGGTCTTTACTGATCGTGCCAGCCCAAAGTCGCAGACCTTGAGATCACAGTTTGCATTAAGGAGGAGATTTGAAGGTTTGAGATCACGGTGGATGACATCAGCAAAATGTAGGGCCTTGAGTGCGCGCAGGGTTTGATATATGAAATATTGAGCATGGTCATCTGAGAGGTCTTGGGTTCGGATAACTGCATGTCCATCAGCTCCTGGATCACTGTGTGAAAGTTTGAATGACATGTGAGTTGAATAACGTATTTATACGCACGATAAACTTCTTTGAAAGCGTCTAGAGAAGGAGGCTTGATAATGTCCAAAATTGAAATGATCTTTAAAGTTATGACTGAGCACGTAAATATAACGAATGGCCAGCAGACACACTCACATTATCGCTCACGCCAGCTTCACTGAGAAATTTGAGGAGTTTTAGTTCTCGGAGTGTCCGCAAGCAGAACATGGAATGATCAAAGGGTGCGATCTTCTTGATGGCAACCTTGCGGCCACTGGGCCGGTGAACAGCTGAACAGACGATACCGCATGCACCCTCGCCTACGACATCGAGAACCTGATACTGAGTACCTATTGAGAGAAAGACTTTGTTAAATTGAATGATTGAATAGCAAGGACGAAGACATACCAACGTTGAATCTAACTTTCCTCGGTGCGGGTGCAGCTTGGGATGTAGCACCGTGTTTTGATTTTGAGGGTGCTGCAGCGACATCTGGAGCCTGCTGAGGGTTTTCAGGCATCTAGAGATAAATGGGAGAAGGAGGGAACGTGGAGGACAAGAAAACTATAAGCAAGGCACAAAGTAGTATAATCTTGCGTGCGTTGTGTACGTAGAATCAGCGTCCAAGTTTAGCGATGAGTATGTTCAGGTGGAGGTTTATATCGAATATTTTCTCCTGTGGGTGGAATTCTGGGGCCGTGGAAGGAGTGTCGAGGCCGACATCTAGAGCTGTCGAGACGTCTGGTGGTGAGGAGCTGGAAGAACTACAGGAAGTTGGTTCTGAGGGAAATGGAGGAGGGAGGCTGTCGCGTAGCTCAGAGTACCACGCGATATCGTTTTTCTTCCTCCGTATGGTCTGTCTTGTAACCCATCCAACCCATCGCATCAACTCTATATTCTTGTCTCTGTTAGACTCTCCAAAAACAGGTATTATGGTGCCCCGGTTAAGGCTGAAGTGCGGTGCAAGCGTGCCATGGGGATCACGATACAGTTGACTCCGTAAAAGACGGTCGACCGAACAATCCAGGCGCACAGCTTGGTAGAGATAATGTCGCGCAAAGGTGGCATGGCCTGCGCGCGAGATATGCTTCAGTAAGATATTGTACGAAGTAGTATTAGGCCGGGCGTGGGGTGTTACTAGGTGTGGCTCGGTCGACGCGGGGTTTGCGATTCCAAAGTCATCCTCATCATCGAACTCTTGTGAATAGTGCTGGCTGGCTTGTGGTGGAAAGGGTTGGGTGAGAACCTCGGATACGTATCACCAAGTCAAGGTTGAAAGATGTTAAAGGCATATCCCGAGCTGACATTTCCTTGAGCAGCTTCCGGCAAAGCTTGCTCGCATCAGCAAGCATGTCCTCGCACTACACCTTATATATTGGCAGAGACAAACGGTGTGCGATTGCTTTGAGGCATAGGCCGAATGGATCCAGTTTGCAGACGTGCGTGAGTTCTGCGAGTACTTGCATTGCACCGGTATAGTGACCCACAGCGGCGAACTGATGCAGAACGACATGGTAGTCATCAGGAGTGGCATCTGCGCCTGTTGCTCGGATATTACGCATGATAGTCTTGAGACGGGCCTCAAAATGGTGAGGGATGCGAGAAGCTTGGCCTGCTTGCATGCGACGCGCTGTACTATACGCGCCTGGGACGCAGCATTCAAACTCAGCTGTGCACGTGATCGTTTAATCATAAGTCCCACATGGCGGTGATGGTACTACTCCAAAAGATCAAACCACAAAGCTTCATTTACAAAACACTCATCCTACCACAATACAATGATCAATATTAATCTGTCGATCCGATTGACACGGTACAACGTAACTCGAGTGTACGCGGTGAGTACCAATGCGAGCCCCTTCAGTGACAAATTCCGTATTATACGGGCCACCCGACCTCCATAATATCCCGTATGAGACGGGCCAGCTGATCATGGGCCCATGTTGTGTATATTCTCGATGATGACGGATGGGCCGGGACTCATATTATTTCCGATGGAGACGGGTGGGCCCATGTATGCCAATGATATATATATCCTTAATGTTGACGGATGGGCCGGGGGAATATGATCATTCATGGAGATGGGTGGGCCCATCTGGGTAATATGTAGAGTAGGATATTATAGACAGCTGGGCTGAAGAGAGATGTAAGGCAAATATTGTTATATAGACGGGCGGGCCGACGTGGGTGTATTACATATATGGGTGGGCCGAGGTAGGGGAATATTACATAGACGGGTGGGCTGACGTAGGGTGTATTACATATACAGGTGGGCCGACGTGGAATGTATTACATATACGGGTGGGCCGACGAAAGAGATATCAAATAGACCGGTGGGCCGAGGGTGCTATAAAATATTTATTACATAGACAGGTGGGCCGAGGTGGGGTATAATTATATAGACGGGTGGGCCGATGTAGGATGTATTATATAGACGGGTGGGCCAACATAGGATGTATCACATAGACGGGTCGGCCGACGGGGGATAATACATAGACGGGCGGGCCGACGGGGGTGTATTACATATATGGGTGAGCCTAGATATGTTCCATCAAGACATACAGCTGATGTAGCCACCAGCGAATCAAACACATAGGATACATGTACACTATCAGTGCATATACCTACCATCAAC